TTAAGACCATTTAAAGTCCATTAACTCTGTCATTGGTGGCACTGAAGGCCTTTTTTAATCATATCTGCATATATTCCATGTTCCAAATAAAGAAAACTGGTTGTGTGAATCTGCTCCAATGCACAGAGTTTACATTTTGTGAACTTGTTACATTAAAGCAGAAGAAAGTGTTTGCCTGATCAGGAGTTTGTCTATAGGAACAGTGCAGATCGACTGACCAAGGTCAGCTCTAACAGCAGGAATCACCTGATGCTTTCCTTGATCGAGTTTCCTTTGTAGTTCTTCAGATCTGTATCCAGCTTCTCTAGTTTGAGCAGAGCCTTTTTCCTAGTAGATTCTGCCCAGGCTGAGTCCAATGGAGGCAGAACTCCTCCTTCAGGAACAGTGTCTGGGACACCCTGAATATCCCTACAGTCAGGAAAATCAAAAACCAGAGATATTACCTCCATTTATTGGAGAAACGCTGCAATAGCAAATGTCATCGCAGCTACTTCACCTCGTGGCCTCTGTCAGCTTGCGGTGGATCTCTTCGTATGTGTCAACGTTGAAGGTTCTCTGGACAAAGGTGAGGGCCATCTTCAGGGCCTCCACTCGAAGCTGAGGGCAATGTTCGGCAATGAACTGAAGCCTCTCAATACGCATCAACCCGCTGTAGCTGGTAGCATATTGTTCCAGGTCCTATCCACAGGCACAAAACACAGACCTTATCAAAACAGCTCCAGAGGTACATTTTTTATTGGCTTAAAGCAGCGTGAACAAAGACTGAGCCCTTAAAAGAACATTTCTTTAGATAAACTCCATTACTTATAATATATATGTCTTCTAAAACTTATTTCTTATGTAAAAAAACAAAAGGCAACTTTTCTCACAACGCCCAAAATCTTTTGAATAGCAACCAAGGTTAATCTCACTCAAAATAAGCGGCTAAAAGAAAAAAAACACTTTATAAGATTTTATACTTGGTGTTTAAACTTTGACTCTGCTACCAGCAGTTAAATCCAACCTTCTCCAGTGGAAAAACTGATGGAAAAGAACGATTATTCACGCTACAGATAACATGTCACCAATGCTCCAGGGAGCAGAGCTGGCAGGTTTTACATCATATATGTGATGCTTTGCTCTGCACTCTGTGAAAGCAGCTGCTATTCAGTTTCAAGATGCTCTCTGCTCCTGATTGTAGACAAAACAGAAGTTATAGTCTTTGGACCAGAGCCTTTGAAAAATACCCCGTTTACACTTCCTGGAAAAACCGATCCATGCCGAGACCGGTCTGAGCTCGGATCAGTTAACCAGGCTGAGCTCGGTTCTGACGACCGTTGACACATCACACTATCTCGGATCCTCGCCTCCTAGTGACGATCTGCGGTATTACTGCCAGTATTGAAGGAGGAAATCAAGCAGTTAGTGGCGGTAATACACCGAGAGTTGTTTGCCAACCGCCATAAAACACAAGTTTTGTTCTGTTTTGTGTTGGTTGGCAAGCAACTTCCGGAGGAGCATTACCGCCAACTACTGGAATGGAGTGTGAATCGGGATGTGCAGCCAGACGGAGATGACGCGTTCTGCTCATGCGCTCTTGTTATCAGAGCACCGAGCCAGGGAAAAACCGAGCCGAGCCCACCTCTGGAACTGGTCTGCTGTTAGCTAGGTCCGGTTGTGTCTAGCTCAGTTCAGCTCAGTTTGCTTTCCATTTACACACCATAAGTTATCTCAGTAACTGATCTCGGACCGGTCTCGGCACGGTTTTTCAAGGGTAGTGTAAATGGGGTAAAAGAAGCTTCAAT